AACTCAAGTCCGAGTCCGAGTCCTTTAAAAAAATCTCCAGTCCGAGTCCAAGTCCGAGTCCGCCAAAAAATCTTCCAGTCCGGACTCGGACTCGCCCATGCCTGGTCTTTTACTTTTCGTAATTTCTAATTAACTAATTTAGATTAAGTCAAAATGCTGCCAATTCATACGGGAGATAGAGCAGGAAATTCTCTAGAAGAGGGTGTAATTTTTAGTCAGTTTATTCCAAGTTTCCTGTTGAAATTAAATGGTTTAAGTTCATTCCACCTATTTTGGCTGTAGTTATCATAATTACCCCATGAAAAATAGCTGTGTTATCAAAATTCCCCCAGATGGGGAATTATGATAATTCTAAACCTATTCACTGGAAATTGATTAGAACTAATTAATGGTAATGAATTTTAGAAAAAAATTTACATCAGTAGATAGCTAAGAGTTAGCTCTATCTACCTGCGTAATACTGATTTTCTCCGATGAAAAATGACTTAAATATGCTCAAAATATCTGAAAAGTTTTAGTCGATTATCAGAATTACCCCATGTGACTCTATATAATTCAAAAATAAACAAACAATTCTGAAAAAGTAAAATTACGATGGGCAAAAACTTACTAATAAAAATTACAATGGGTAAATCTCGAAATGAAATGGGCAATTGGCAATTGGCCTCCTTCCCTTGGTTCCGCCGCCGGTGCGAACTAAAACAGGTGAACACATTAGTTGCTAATTGCTTTCTTTACAGAGGAAGTAGTTTCTTCATTGACTCGTTTTCGAAAGAAAAAAAGTGTATAGGAAGCAGATATATTTGTATAAGAAGTAGGAAAAATCCAACATTCTCTTCCTTACCTGAATAATATAATGCTCGTGTTCTCAGAATTTCTTTTCTCATATGAAAATAACACTAGAAATGGTAAGGCGCATTGCATGATTAGAAATTTAGTCGTACGTGTGTTGCAATGAAATAGTTCAATAACTAAGGAAAATAAGAATCTGCCGAAACATTTTCCGTGCTGTTATGCTACATATTGTAAAACTTTTGTTCTTATTAGGTTATCCAGATAGCTTCTTTATTATTATATATACCTGGATGAAAGCTATAAAAAGATTTAAAATAAATAGCTACCACAGTTTCAAGTTTAACTTCTCAATCAACTTCAATGCTTCAGTCCGACGAAGGACAGAATGATTTTTCAAATATCAAAAACACGCAGTTAGTAGATAATAAACCATATAGAAAATTAAACGACAACTTTTTGAAATCTCATGGATCAATGATAAATTATATTCAACAAAAGTTGACAGTTTCAAGGCCACATGTCGAAGCCGTGATTCGAGCAGCTGGTTTTATATATACCGAGAATAACAACAATTCTGTACGATGTTCTGAGTGTGGAATTGAAATATCTAATCTGACAAAGGAAATGGTCCCATTTGATGAACATAAAAGCAAAAGCCCATTGTGTCCGTTTGTGAAGAAGATAACGTGCGTTGATCAGCAAGATGGATTATTAACAGGTATGCAGTGACTAACTATCCGATAGTAAAATAATGCTTTATTTTATTGTTTCCAGATCAATCGGCGTCGCCTATCGGAATCAAACCACTGAAACTACAGAAAACTGAAACATCAGCATGTGTCGTAGACGCCACCACTCAACAGAACAATAATAAAAGGAAACAACAAAAGAAAGAAAAATGTTCATCACTATCCAGTTTTGTTGCTGCACGAGGCTTGTCTGAACTTGAAACTGTACGACAAGTACGACGTAGAACATTTTCACATTGGCCAAATCAAATTCCGTCTAGAAACCAAATGTGTAAGGCTGGCTTTTTTGGTTGTAATGTTGCGGATCGTGTATATTGTAATGTAATATGCCAGCAGTGGATACCACACGATGATCCAATTGAAATACATAAATTATTGTCACCTAATTGCCCCTACATCAAATCACTAGTGAGAAAAACTGAGCAGTCAAATACTGTTCGAATTGTTAATGAAATTGGCAATCGTCAATCATCTCAAACGGCCTCAGCTACCAACACTAGTAGTGCGACAGACAAGAACTATATTTTACGTTGCAATGAAATTGTACTAACTGCAGCCTGTAATATCAGTTACATTGAAATTCCTAAAAGATTTGCTTCCTTTACCGCATGGCCGAAGGATCCTTTGCCATCCATCGATGATTTGGTGAAGTCAGGCTTCTATTACACTGGCACAAAAACAATTGTTACTTGTTTCTACTGCAATGGATCATTACAAAACTGGGGAGAAAAAGATAATCCAATGATTGAGCATGCACGCTGGTTTCCACATTGCGCCTATGCTCGTCAACTTTGCGGCGATGACTTATATACAAAGATTCAAAAATCCAAACGAGCTGCACAAAGTATGTGGCTCTTATTTCTTTTCTTTGTCTCAACACTTGTATTTCTTAACTCTTTCAGATCGATCGAGTTCTAATGAACAAAGCAGAGGATTTTCCATATCAAATATTAATAATAGTTCAAATGACGGTTCGACATTATTAGAAACAAATATTTCAAATAATAGACAATTACAAATACCAGATGAAAGTACATTATCAAGATTAGTTTCTGCTCGATTAGATTTACCGATATCACAAAATTTATTAAATAAGAAAGTGAAATTATCGGTCATAAAACGTTGCTACGAAGATCAATTGCGTTTGAAATGTAAGTGATGAGACGAGCATATGGTGTTAGACATACATTATACGTTGAATTGTTTTGTTCAGATGATGATTTTGTTAGTGATTGTGATTTAATGATGGCTTGTACTATTCTTCAAAAACAAATTGACTATATTGATGGAAAAAAAGAAAATATTGTTATACCGAATGTATACATGAAAAAGTTATGTGAAAACGTAGAAAAAGAAAGAATAGGTATATTGGTTCGCGATGAAGAACTGTTCTAGTTAAAATTTGAATTCGCCGTTTTTTCATTTTCAGAACGGGAAAAAACTCAATAAATTGATCATCTATCAAATTCACTACAAATAAATACTTCACAAATGGCTTTATCATCTACTTCATCAGTTTCAGAGATGGCTTCATCAGCCAACGAATCATGTTCATCAAGTTGTTCTACATCGTCAATGGAAGCAAATAGTAGTAAGACAAATGTCGAAAACTCAAAAGAAAAAGCCCAACATCAAACATCGGCAATAGCACACCCTTGCGTACTTTGTCTAACCGATGAAAAACGGTTAGCTTGCATACCTTGTGGTCATCTGGCTACATGTGTTCCTTGTGGACATTCATTGAAAACTTGCCCATTATGCCGTCGTGATATTGAAGCCTTCGTACGAGTATATATTTAAATCCAATTATCGGAAAAAAACAGGCACTCATAAGTTTAATCGATCATAAACACACAAATTGTTCTCGATCTCAAATCTTCAAATGATCACATCCTTTGATAGACACTGGATGTTTTCAATGATCGTATACGTGATTGCCGACGATGACAAGAACAATAATTGAAACCAAAAAAGTTGAGAATATGTTTCCGATATTGTTTTGGTAAGGTAGATTAAATTTCGAAGGAGATATAGCTTGTTTTCCTTTGTTATTCCTAAGTAGAATAAGAAAAAGAGCAGAATAGTGTTGAACTGACTTTTCTCGTATTTTGCCAAAGTTTTGAGATAGGAAATTGAGAATACATCACCAGTTTTTGAGTGTTCTCAACAATACCGAAAATGGTTTCAAGTCAAGAATTAGTATTTAATGGATTCTATGAATCGACCAAACGTTGACTACCATTGGCTTTAATCCATGATTGTGTACAAATGTTTCTTGAGATCGTGGCCAGAGTAAAACCATAAATGGTACATCACTGACCATATTGAGCACCTTGTACATTTAAGTTTTTAATGTGATAATTTATAATTCATAATCGTCAATGTTTTTGATGTTCATATCGCTCCTGCTTTTTCTAGTATATTGCTAATAAGCCGTTCGTTTCGCAAACGCTACTTTACTGTATGATTTTATTTAATAGTTTTGTCTTCCTGCATCAATTTCATCTATCACATTTATATTTATAGTAGTAATTTACAGAATCGTATTCTGATAGTTTAGACACGTCCTCTTTTCGTTAACTCTTTTATTTATACTTTTAGCATGTTCACATACCTGTTAAATTTATAATTTTAATGTATAGAATTTCGTTCAAATCAAGATGATTTCAATTATTCAATTTAAATCATTTCATTTAAAATTTATCTCAAAACAGAAGCAATATGCACTGATAGATAACAAATACAAGAATACGGGCATAATAGTGCATTTTTATTTAGTTTGAACAAGAGAAAACATGTACTAAATACAGACATGTGTTATGTGGACTTAGTTGTAACAAGTACTATGTGAAAAAAATTGATAAAAGAGCATTTTGTGTCTATCATGTGCATCTAAATATGAACTTCTACAACGACAATGTAGTTTCCTGCAGATTAGAATTGTATTTTCCAATGATAATATGCAGTTCGAAAAAAAAATCGTCTAGATAATTTACAATAGACTCACCGATTACCTTTACAGCAAAATGAAAAATGCACTAACTTCAAGTGGGAAAAGCAGACTTAAGTTCAGTTATGGACTTTCAAGCTCCGTCAAAATCCACGACAGTCCAAGGGAAGACTTTTTATAAATCTCTGTGAACTTATCTAGACTTCTAACGGCTTACGTCGATTTAGATGGACTTTTCTGGCTTTTACAGACTTGAAACAGTCCGTTGTGCCTTGTACTTTGAACTTCGGTAGCCTTTTAAAGTCCATTAAAGTTCTTAAAGATCCAAAAGTGCAAAGTCTGCTTCTCCCCCCCCTTGATTAACTTTATCTTTGCCAATTTGATTGATAGTCTTCTTTTTACTCTTATCGAAACTTTTACTTAGCTTTCATTCGTAGAATGGTTTTCAATGGCACAGATGATTAGTAAGCAAATCATGAACAGTTCTAAATGTGTATGATATGAGAAATGAAACTGTGATTATTTCTCATATTTTCTACAAGTAGTTTTTCTTTTTGTGACAACATTTAGACAAATGAAGGTTGGTGAGTATTTTACGTTTGTCCCTTATGAAAGGAAGAAACTCGATTTATTTCTCCGTTCTGGTTTTTTTCCCTTACTTCTTCTGTATTTATTCTTTTTCTTTTTACAATAAGCAGTTACACACTCAAATCAAGGTAGCAGAAAAGAATCAAGACTATGAGGGTTTTTTCCAACTCAATTAAATTTTATTTTTCTGTCAACAGATGTAAAATGCTAATGTGTTAAATATGAATACCTTTTACGACACTCATTTTTTATCACACGTCGTTATACATATATATCAGATTCTATGTGTCATAATGGTCTTAAATAAATTGATAAAGAATCTCGTTTTCATAATAAAAACTGTTCGTCTTCCGCTAATGATCATTCAGTGCATAGCTGAATGATATAGAGTGAACGTCCAATAAATAGTTATAAAAATAATCAAAACATTTACAGCAAAAATTAATTTTGTTATTTAAATGTAGTCTTAGTTTTTTGCTAGAACTTATAAAAAAAAGATGATAAAAAGTTTGTGAATATTAATCTCTGACATACACACGGTAGAAGAAACAGTAAAGTTTCCAGTTCGATCAGTCCATGCACGAAATTTCTATAGAAAACCGCTAAAAAAGCGGTCCAAGCAATTTTTTCTTCAGCAGAAAAATTCCCTGAAACGGAGCTTCGGTCACATCAGCCGCTTTGGATCAGAAATTATCGCATCGAAAACGGTCCATCTTTCAAACCGTTTTCTTTTTCTAAACCGCCGAGAGTCGCGTTTCTACACAAGTTTTGCCACATTATTGGAACGATAAGAACCACAGTTTTCGAAGAGGAAAACTGCTTCGAACTGCGCCCTAGTGAAGTTCTTTTTCTCAAGTGCATACTTGGAGAAACTTATGCCTAATTGCTCTCTAGCTTTCTAGAAGGCTTTTAGCTCGTTACGCTTGATTGCATGTTAGAGTAGATATACTACCGTTACGAATAAATTTCCACATTAATTTACGGAGCAGTATTAATCAAACTTTTTCTTTTTGAGAGATTGCCGAAGGAACTAGGTTAGGCATGAAGCATAGTGATTTTATTTATTACTATTGCATTAGAACTACTATCCATCCCAAAATACAAGACCCGTGGGCATTTTTTGAATAACTTTTGATAGGAATGAGACAGAGACCTGCGATTTTTCCTGTTCAATAGGCAAGACTTGAGCAGAACCTTTCACAAGCGGACGCAACTTTTGAAAAAATTTCAGAGATCGGGTTTTCAGAGGATCTTTGGAAAACCAGCTCCGTTCTCAGAAAACTAACATACAATGTTAGTAATTTTGTTGCATGCGTAGATAGATGGGACGTTA